TGATTAGTAGTAAAATAAATATAGTGTAAAAAGAGGGTGGTGTCGCCAGGTGGCGATGGTGGTGGATGACGATGAATTGAGGCTAGTGGTGACTGGTGGTAGCTGAAGAAGGGTGCCATTAGCGACCGACGGTGGTGGCGGCCAATGGTGGGTGGTGGCCAACGGTGGGTGGTGGTGGTGATTGGTGGTGAACAAGAATGATGGCGAACAACAATGGTGGCTGGCGATAGGTAGTTGCCATCAAACGAGCTTGTTTGTGGTGTAAATAAGTTATGCTCAAAATTAGACAAGTTTAATTTACCTCAAAAATAAATTAAAATAATTTACACTACATTTATTTTAATTTTTTTATCCAATTAAATATCAATATTTTTCAAATTTCTTAATTTAGAATACTTTATACATCTATTTTAGCTCCAACCAAACAAGCTCTAATTAGTGCAAAATATTTAATAGTGTGAGGGCCCCAGGTTGGGAATCATACTCCAAAAAGGTGTGTGATGGGGGGGGGGGGGAGGCCCCAAACACCAGCCTAATAGTCAAGCACGGACCATCCATAGGTAGAAGACACCGAGCGCAATCCAACCAAAGTCGAGGCACCCAGGTTGCCAGCCAGCTTAGTCAGAAAGGGGCAGCAATGGCCTTCTCATCATCGTCCATTCAAACATAAAAAACCACACCAATAGTGCTAAGAGCCAAATAATAATCCAACCAGCAAATACAACCAAAACCAACCACCCAGCAGACTTCAAAGAGCGATAACCACACACACAAAAAGAAAAGTCCAAAGGCATTACTACCTTCCACTCCTATTAGCTCTGCCTCCCCTATTAATCCCAAAAGAACGAACAAGAAATTCATCCTCACTCACATGAACATCTTCATCATCTCCACTAGAAGGAGAATCCACCAAAGTGAACCATTCTGTAGGACGCAAAACAGATTATTTACCATTCCTCGCCACGTGATCTAGCATTTTAGCATTAGGCACCACCGAAATAAGAATATTAACAATGTTTGAATTGCTGACCAGACCAGCATCAGCATGAGTAGCCGAATTATCCACTTCCAAATTAACCAAAGAGCAAAACACCTGAGACCCAGGGGACAAAACCTTAGGGGAGTCAGAAGAAATCGAATGCTCAACAACCACTGAAGGATCAATAGATCTAGTTAAAACACACGAGACAACAGCCACATCATTTAAAACAGGAACATAGTTAACTTCACAACTCAACAGACCACCTTCACTAGCAGAATCCCGAACACTCTGAACAACAGGCAATACCCCATCCAGAGCACCCTCAGAAACAACAGAACAATTAATAACAAAAGCATTATCAATAGGCTCGACAGTTTTAAAACTAGAAGTCCCAATTTCATCATTAGACGGGACAACCACAGGGTCAGGAGAGACAATACCAAGGCCATTAGAGGCATCAGGTAATCCATTCACAACATCACCCAAAAAACTGACCTCAATAATAGGAGGCAAAGCCCCAACCACAAAATCCACCGGAGCTAAATTAGAAATAGGGCTAGCAAGAGTAACACAATTAGTATGAGCGTTAACAGGGATATTATTAAACAGTCCAGGATCACCCGCAACCAAACACGGGACAATATTAGGCACAAGGCCAACACCCTGAACTGATACCACATCCCCCAAAGCAGGATCCTCAACAATATCCACACCAACAATACCAACCTGATTAGGAAAAGAAGGCTTCGACGAGAGAACCATATTAGGGACAGAAGAAGAAGAATGACACTCACCACGCTTGTGCCCAATGGCCTTACAAAGCTCACAAAAATGGGGAAACACCTCCATTTGAACATGTTGAATATAACCCAATTGCTCATACCCCAACCAAACTTTATCAAGGTAGGTTTTAGTTATGTCTAATTCCACAAAAACGCACGCCAAAGAAGGCTGCGAACCAACAGAAATAGCATAATCGATTTTAAGGGGACGACCAAATAAAGAACCCAACTCATGAAGGATTTTGGGAGCGAAAAGGTGAGGCCGAAGATCAGGGAAAGATACCCAAATGAGATTAATTGGAGATTCCACATCGATATCAAGGGTAGGCAACCATTTAGTAATTTTCATGAAGCAATTGAAAACCAGATAGGAACGATGGAAAAAAACTCTACTATAATCCATATCGTTAGACAATTTAATCAACACATGAGTTGCATCCAGTAAGGTCACTGAGAATTCAGCCGAGAGTTTCAAGTTAAAGAAAAAATGACATATATCATCCAAACTAGGGCGGCGAGAGGGAAAAAAACCCACCAGAGAAAACTGAAAAGGTGCGGCTAAGGAGGCGATTTCTTCCTCAGAAATCCAAACAGCAGGTAAACCAAGAAAAGAGCTTGTTTTAAGAGGCGGAAAACGAACATCCGAATCATTAACAGATAAAACATCCACAAAAGAACGAGACTTCTTGGATCCAACTAAAAAACCTGGATCCAAGAGGTGAATCAAGGCCTTGACGGCCATCCAGTAGACAAGAGAAAAACCGGCCAAGAAAAAAAAAGAGGAATAAAGAAAACTTCCCTGCGAATCAAAAGTACCCTCATCATGAAAACTCTCACTAAACCCTTTCTAGAGCCATATGATTATTTTAGAATTGGTGAGACGGTGATTCTATAATTTTGGAAAGATCAAAGCTTCATTAATGCACATGCCTCATCAAAACTCTTTTTTGATATTTAAGGACAGTAGATCTTCTCTGTGGAAGGGAAAGAATTGGCTCAAAATAATTTAATTTAAACTTTTAATTAAATATGAATTTTAAGAGAAAATTTTGATTTATATATGTCATAATAATTATAATTGATCAAATATATTTATTATTTATTTGAAAAAAGATATATCTAAAAATCTACTTTAATTAAAATGCTCTTCATATACCTATATCCTTGCAATCTATAAAGAGTAATGTTTAACAATTTGGCTTTCTCTATTATTGATTTCAAGATCATTTTATTCGAAATGTTTTTTTTTATTTGGTGATATAAAATTGACGGCCATGATGAAGCCCAATAAAAATAATAATTTTAAAAGTATTATATTTATTTTGAGATAAATATAATATCACTTATTCATATATTAAATTTATCTTAAAATAAAATCAATAAATTCAAAATATATTACAACACAAAATTATTCAGAATGCCTTAGCCCAAAGTTTATCAAAGACATCATTTTAATTTATTGTGACAAATTAATATATTTATCTGATAAAAAATAGATGCAATGCTCTTTTTCTTAATTTTTTTATCAATTAAAAAAATTAGCTATTAATATTTTCATCAAAAAAATTTTAGTAATAAATCTCAAATTTCTTAAATAAAAATATTGTATTCAATCCGACCCACAGTTTTGAGCGCAACACAGAAAAGTAATTTTGCAAATATAGTATTCTTGTGGATCGAAATTGAAAAGTTGGTGCCAACACGTGTAAATCGGGCGTTGCGCACCGCGGGGCCCACAGTTATCTAGCCACCCGTTGCAGTTAGCCTGTAGACGTTGATGTTTGTTGCTGGAATTTAGTCCACCTGTATTAATCGTATTTTTTTTAGATAAAAATCATCAACTGTAGTTAATTTAGTCCATAAGTCTTTCGTCCTCACTCACAATATATATTTATTAAATGGGCCGTTACCTCATGGAAATATGGCATAACGACACCGACTCACCAAGTAAATGCTAAATTATATTTATAAATTATTAGGCACGGCTTATAATTACATAAGCGATATAAATTTTATAAGAAGGGGGTGGAATTAGCATATATATTTTTTAATGTAAATAAAAATAGGTTTATGAAATATATAAAATAATAAAAAATTTTAATTGAGCAATTGCATTTATTAAAGATGGATAAAATAATTAAAGTGGATTAAAATATTTTATGATGGTCAACTGCGCACTCAGAGCTCTTTTTAGTTACACCTTAGTTAAAAAAACTTAAATTATTTTGCTAATTAAAAATTTAAATATTATATAATTTCTAGCACCATATTTTGTAAAATTTTTATCATAATTATTTATTTTTAATTGATAATAAATCTTAAATTCTAATAGAATTATTTGATATAATATATTAGCTTTAAAATGGATTTGTTTACCCTTCGTAAAATTCAAACTAATGATTAATATTAAAGACATAAGGATCAAAATGATCTCCGATTCTTTATGAATGATTAAAATGATCATCAACTATTTAAAAATTTCATTTTAGTCCATTTACTTTTTTTAATATGGATTTAAATTCTTTCATTGAAAGAATAATTTGCTCAATATTTAAAGAGTCGATGAGTTAAATTTGATTAATTAGAAAAAAATTAAAGGATCAATTTAATCATTTTCTCAATATTAAAAAAATTTTAAATGTGTCAAATTTTTTTGAAATTTCAATAAATTTAGTATTATAAAATAGCTGTGGTTGAATCGACAACTACCAGCTTAATGATAAAATACTTTTATAAAATTTAAAAATATGCTTTAATATAATTATTAAATCACAAATAAATAAATAAATAAATATATATATATATATTCATTAAGTTGTTTCCCAATGGCCTAAACGGGCTTATAAAAATCCATTTACTTGTGGATTAATAACATCTATTTAATTGTGATAGTTTTATAATAATAGTTTTTTTTTGTAAAAACTTCGATTGCAGGGCCCTAATTACTAAAACGCCACCCACCGGCCCGGTAACCGTCAAAAGCGGAGCTCCTTTCTCCACGTTCTTTAACACATAAAATATAAAAAAAAATCATGCACGTAAACAAAGGAAAATAATTGCACATAAAAATAAAAAAAAATTAATTTTGCAGAAAGTAAATGGCCACCCTCGCAAGTCTGTTTGGTTGATAAGTTTTTGTGTGAATTTTTACTGGCATTTAATTAAGAAAATTTCCACGTCATAAAAATGAGTAGTTTTTTTTTAATTCTCAATTTATATTCAAAGGTAACTCCGTCGCTGACCAAAAAACCCCATTTGGCATTTGCTGCTGCTTGCTCTACTCCGTCTCTCGGAGCTGAGATGGGCTCCTGCATGTCGTCTGACTCACCGGCGGTGGCGACGGCCGCCGCCGGAGCTCCGATTTACGTTGAAGAAGACGCCTACTTCTCTTCTGGAACAGGTATGTGCTCGAAGAGGTGGATGGGGTGGAAGAAGAAAGGTACAGAAGATAAGAGGAAAAGAGGAGGAGGGTTTTTCGATCGGAAGGCAGTTTCAGGTGGAGGGAATGAGGCGGTGGATGAGCTCCTTCTCATACCTGGTCGGATGTATATGAACGGAGCCAGCGAAGCGGCTTGCCTTTTCACGCAGCAGGGGAAGAAGGGGACCAATCAGGACGCTATGATCGTGTGGGAGGTGAACTTAGTTTGTGCTTAATGTAACTTTGGTTTCTATTATTTTGCTGTTGTTTCACAAATTTTCTATTTTGTTGTTTTGTTATTGTGCTTTACTGGTTTTTTGTTAGGATTAGGAGTTTAGTGGAGGAGTATTTTATTGAGGTTCTTATATGTTTTTGCCTGGTTAAGTTTGGTTCTGTTTTTCGATTGGAAAATAGTATGCCTAATGGAATTGATTATGATGTTTGGCTTCTTAAATTAGGCGTTGTCATCTTTTATTATTATTACTATTACTATTTAAGGAAAGACAGTTGGGTTCATCTCGTCTCTGTAGTTGCTGGATGGTAAAATGATATGGGGATCATCTTCCTTTTGGTAGTTTTATGGTGCGGTTACTGTTGCGAGTTCGAATTGTTTTGTGTGTTATGGTGGATAGCTTTGGGATTCGGTTATGTTGTCTAAATTCATCCATATGATCCTTTCTGATCAAAGTCTAGTCTGGGAGTTTAGGATTCTTCTTCCTGCAAAGGAAGGCTACCTCCAAATAATGGACCTGTCTAGCAGCCAAGGAAGGGGATATAATTACGCTTTCTAGATAATGTAAAGAGATTTGCATGACTGATAAAAGTTTGCATTTAATTTTTTATCCTTGGGTTGCCCTTAGATCTGTGATTCTGATAGCTAATGCTGTTTGGATTTTCACTCAAATAATCTGTTTATGTAAACTCTTGCGAGAGTATTATTTTAGTCTGGCGTTGGGTAGGCGAAAAATAGGTTGGTGTAGAAATACCAAATGGTTGGTCCTCTCAGATTAGCCTTTTTTTTTAGTCGAAAAAGTTTTTTCATTGATTTAGCAAGTCCAACTTTGATTTCCTTTGATTCACACTCTCTAATAGGTTTTTTTCTCAAGATAAAGCATAGTTTGATTTCTGCTTGAAAGTTTGTTATTTTAGATCACTTTAAATTCTTTTTTGAAACTTTGTTATTTTATAGAATTTGTAAGTCAAAGATTAGAAATGATTTAGATTTGAAATCCACATCTTTATATCTTTTAATATAATAGAAAAAGCATAATAAAAAGCTATATGCATTGTTTAAAAAAGCGAACTTCAAAGTGAAACTATCTCAAAACATGTGGTAATGTGAAAACCATGGAACTCATTAGTTCCTCATCAAGCAATCCGTGTGTTATGATTAAATCAATTGTAGGATGATTTTTCATATCAATCTATCAATACTTGTTCTTCCTATTTTTGATTTCCATTTATTATGTACTTATGTTTTCCACAAATTTAGAACTAATAAAAATCAGGTAAGCAAGGTCATCGCTTTTCAACATCCAAAAGTGAACCTCTAAAGCCACCTACCTACCTAAACACTTCCATCTCGGCATCACTCAATCAAGAACAAATGAAAATGCTAAAAAAAATTTCATTTAACTCCAAGCTAAATTTATCCAAGACAAAACTGATATTGAGATCAGATCAACTACTAAAAAAACTATGGTTGTACATGCCTTTAATTCAAAGATTGAGAAGAGCCAATCAAATGACTTTGGATATCTCCCTATTTTTAAAATATATCATTCTTCTAAGTAGTTTTTCTATGAGTTCTGTCAATGGATCGTTATGTCTTAATGCTGGCATTAAAAAAAAAATTAATATCTCAGATTTTGTCCCTAAACTCAATTTTATTAGTTTGTAAACTTTATTGTAATATCATATCTATCAGTAAAATTATCAAGGTTTTTAGTTGTGTTACTAAATTTTTCCTGCACATTGTGAATTTCAGGATATTAACTTTGGGAGGATGGTTGGCAATGTTAAGGAGAATGTTGGACTATATTGCCTTGATACCGAAGAAAATCCTACATTAAAAATTAAACATGCTTAGTATGTTGGTTGTTTTGAAGAGAGTGCAATCATGTTATAATATCTTCTTCTTGGTCATCCAAGCTTCATGTATCTAAAAAATTATCCCCATATTCTTAATAAAATCTAGATTTATTTTAACGTGAAATTTGCTACCATGAAAACACACCGAGAACACCTATCATAGTCATACCTGTGAAGCCTCACAACTTTTCTAATCATTCATAACGACATTGGGGGATCATCTCATGTGGCCAATATCTCTGGTGCTAAATGGTTCATATCCTTCATAGGTTACTACTCTATAGCTACTTGGATATTCCTAATGAAAGAAAAATCTGAAACTTATCAAATTGCTAAGAAATTTCATCTCTATATACAAATCTAGTTCAATACCCAAATCCAAGTGTTCGAGGCTGGAAATGAAAAATTATATTTCGATTTAATTCTTGGTGACTACCTTCTTCAACATGGGATTATATATCTTAGCTCTCGTATGTATATTCCTCAATAGAATATGATTGCTAAAATAAAAAAAGTGATATTCTCAAAGTTACTTGATCCATCACGATTATTAGCAAAATCCTATATTAGGATTAAGAAGAGGCTATCTTAACAGTTGCATACGTCACTAATTAGAAGCCATCAAGAATTCCCAAATTAGAAACTCCTACCAAATTCTCATCAAAACATATCCCACTAGTAAGATTATCTCCACTATACCAATTGAAGTCTTTAGTTGTTCTGTTTTTGTTCATATTATACCTTATGAATGAAGCAAACTTGAACAAAAAATATTAAGTACATACTTATTGGTTATTCTTCAAATCAATAAGGATACAAATATTACTATCTTTTAAAAAAATAAATTCTCACTTCTATGGATGTTACATTTTTTAAAATCGACCTAAAAAAAAAAATCACATTTAGGGAGAGTATTCTAACACTATTTATGATTATGAGTTTCTATCCATCGTTTTGACCTCCAACTTCCATCTTTTCCCATTCTCCTTGAAGCTCTAAATCCCGGCCACTCTAAAGATTCCCAATATTGCATTAAACAAACCATATATTAATATATGGTTTATACTATATGTTAGAAACATTCAATGAGCATTAGTGAACCCAAGGTTTTTAACTACACAATTAGAGGTCCTTAAGGCTTGCCTTAACGCAATATCTAAAAATAGTTAATGAGGCATATGCCTCACGATTGCCATATAAGGCTTATACCTTAGTTTATCAGTAGGAGATTCTGACGCGTCTATCAGAGGAGATATCGCCGATCAACGGCTACGATTAGTAGTCTTGATTTGTGATGCATTTATGTTGTAGCCCAAAGGACAATTTAGTCTTTGTGTCTTTTGTTCCTTGAGGCCTATATATGAAGACCCTAGCTTTTGTATTAGTTTTGATGATGATTTTGAATGAAATTTCAGCACTTGTTACTTCTCTTTGTTGTGAGTTCTTGAGAGAGTAGAAAACCCTAAGAGAGGGCCAAGCAATTCTCGTCAGCCGCTGGTAGAGTCCGGGCTCGAGGTTTGTATCTGTTTTTATTCCCCTCTCCCCCCCCCTCCACACACACACACACAGACACACCCGTCGGCCAAGCCGCCGGTCTCCTCCCCACCTTCCTCCAAAATAGTTGGCCTCCCTCCTCTTCCTCCTAAAACCGCCGGTTTCCCTTCCCTTTCCACCTCAAGCCGTCGGCCTACCTAGTCCACACCCTAGTCGCCGGCCCATTCATCCACAAGTCCCTTAATTTCAAATTCAAATTGATGCTTAAATACCTTCCTAATTTATCATATTATTAATTTGGAAAGTCTCTTAATTTGAATTAAAAAAAAATTGAATTTCAAAATTTTTCCTAATTAATAAATCTATTTTAGGAAGCTCTCCTAATCGCTTTAAATATGAAATTAATTTGGATTTAATTGCAAATCCCACATTCATTGCATGTAGACACATTCGTTGAATATGGACACCCTTCCCCTCCCTCTTTGGGCCGGCCCCCCTATGCCTTTCTCTCTTAATTAAATTCCTTCAATTAATGCTCTCAATCAAAGCCCCTCCCATCTAGGTATATCACCCCACGTACCCTAGCTCAATTAGAGGAAATTCAAATTTTGAATTATTCCCTCCTTCCCTCCTTGAAATCTAAAATTAAATTTCAGATTTTTAAATTGTTTTCCCTCCAATATAAACCTAAAATCTGAAATTAAATTGGCCCCCTCCTGGCCTTGGCCGACCACCCAAACCTCTCCCTCCTCCCCTCCTCTTCTCCCTTGCTTCATACACCATCCAAGGGAGAAGAAACACAACTCTGGCCTAAGTCCCCTATGGATGGCCGATCCTGAACAAGACCATGAGTTCGTATACGATCATCAGTGACGAGTAGATGTGTTGAGATTACCCTTTTTCGACATCAACTTGGAGATCGACCACACCGTCGACGACTATGTTGATCGGATCCTCTTTACTTTAACGAACGCCATCGACGAGCATCAAACCTCCGGACAGTGGCAAGTTCTCCAACATCCACTGGCTTCTTCCTCTACGGCTAAGTTTTCGTTGGGCAATACTGTAGGCGTCGTTTGTCTTTTGGTGGCGTCATTAAGTTTGCTAAAATTATTCTTCTGCTAAAACAACCCTCAAGAGTGAGAGTGAGGGGAACTCAAGATGAACTTTCTAATTGTTAACATGTGGATTTCTGTTACTTGTGCATCTAGCTTTACTATAGTTTTTTGTTATTTTAAATTGCCCTTCTAATCTAGTTTGTAACCGGATGCCAAAGCAAAACAAAACTAAGAAATTCTAGAATCTAATCTTGTGAAACATTAAATTTAAAATTTGTTAAGCTAAAATTTGCAAGCTTAACAAATTTTATTAAATTCATGCAATTCCTTTTATGTTTCACATCAATGACAAGTTACTCCGACACGTCAAACATTGGATGCATTTACCATATATTCTATGCAATCTAAATACTTGCATTTTTCATTCATTAATTTTGCATCTAATGCACTTTCTTTGTGAAGGATAAGCACATTTATCTTCCTCTGAGGTCTGCAATCCAGTTATGAGACAATTCACATAAATTGTTATGATAATTGATGCATGTGAGTCACCCATAGCCAGATTCAGACCTCCCCAAACCTGCAAACTGATAATTGTATAACATGAATCTATAGAATGAATAGTTGTCGTGTAGATTTTCACTTTGACATTAAAAAGCATACTTTTTGATAGCTCCTACTCAATTTTACAACTCATTTAAATTTTTTAGAGAAAAAATTATTCTGATGCCTCACTGAGGGCACCAAGATTTGAATCCCCGGCCTGTGGTATTTTAAGCTGGCCGCGTATCTCCTGAATTAACTGAAGTTCGTTTTTGAAGCTGTTACCACTGGTAAATCAGCAGTTTTGGTGCGGCGTTAGCTGGAAGTAATTCCTTTTTGTTTTAACATTTATGTACTTAACCACACACAATTTTTCTTCAACTGCAGATGCCTGCTTTGCTGAGTAACTTCTCATTCAATGCCTGAGACGTCAGGTGTAAAATACAAATTAGGTATTCAATAGAAAATCTCAACTGACCCCATCATTTCCCATTAAGCCTTTCCATGGTAATTAGTTAGGAAATGCTTTATTCTCAATCCTTTTTCTGCAATTTATGCCCTCATGATTAATAATACCATTCGATCGCATGATGCTTCTGTCCACTTTCACTAGAATCTTTTGTTTTTTGAGCAAATTCTGGACAACATTTCTGCTCTTAGCTCACCTTTGTCACGTAACTGGTATGTTTAACATTTATGGCATATAACAAGCTACTTCCATAATTTCCTTTTAGCTTGCTCTTTTTAATTTACAATGTGTGATTTTGAAGGGTTTTTAGAAAAGCTTCTATTTGTTAATCACAAACCTAACTTAATGAATACAATTCTTGCTGATATGCTTACCTCTTTTATGAGCTTTTTGATGTAGAAAGCATTCCTCTTTATTTCTATTTTTTGAAGCACCTCTTTTTTTATGAATCCAATGTTTTCTATTTGATGATGAACCTTTTTATTCCTATTGCAGAATTTCACATCAAGAGCTGACACCATCTTTTGTGGAGTATTTGATGGTCATGGTCCATTAGGGCATATGGTAGCTAGGAAGGTTCGGGATTCTCTTCCTCTCAAGTTATGCAATCAATGGAAAGCCATTGTTGAGGGGCAAGAGAGCCCTCAGAAAAATGATAGTTCATCCAGGAGTATGAATTCTGAAGAAACATCCTTTGTCAGCGTTGATGATGAGTGGTGCGAGTCTGTAAATTTTGCTGAAGTTGAAAAGCTACCAGAAATATATCTCCCCTTAAAGCAGTCTTTTCTGAAAGCTTTCAAGCTCATGGATAAGGAATTAAAACTTCTTCCGACAGTTGATTGTTTCTGCAGTGGTACGACAGCAGTTACTTTGGTAAAGCAGGCAAGTCAGCATCTCTTCCTATAATTCCCTTATAGACTTATCTTTATCATTATTCTTATCCCAACTATTTGTGTTCGATCTTGTCAATTCTCTTTTTCATTCATTGATTTGAGGTGCTTAACCTCTTATTTGTAAATCATTATGGATTTCTATCCATATTATCTTAGGCCAATCACTTTTCTTTTCTATTATTCTGATGCTGATTTTATCTACCCATCCAATGGGTAAATTATTTATTATTTATTGTATATGTCCCAACCAACTATTTCTATATTCAGGAACTTAAAAGCTCTTTAAAATGACTTACTTTTGCCAGTATACAAAATCTTTCGTATTTAGTAGATGTTATTAGTACTAGTTGAATCGGTTAGCAGTTTTACTTCAGAAGAAGCTATCATTTATGCTATTTCTAAAGCATGCTAGCTTGCCAAATGTCCAATCCGCTTTTCAAATTTTTTGAGAATTTGTTTTTCCTCCAATAAATTTTAGGCAGTTAAATTTTCTACAAATTGTACTTTTATAGGGGCAGGATCTCATAATTGGAAACTTGGGAGATTCAAGAGCAATAATGGGCACTCGAGATAGAGACAACAACTTGGTTGCACTACAATTGACTGTGGACTTGAAGCCCAATCTTCCTAGTACGTTTCTTATCGTACCTTGATCATTTTGAACCATAAACTTTTGTTATTCAAATGTTCAGGCTATAAATGTATGTTTTGGTTACCATGGTTTTGATGATTTAAGAAACCAAGAAGCAAAAACGTTGCACTTTTCATTAAAACATTCACAAATAAAGTTCAACAACAACAAAAACAATATCAATATTTTATCCCATTACATGGGGTTGGCTACATCAATCCTTCTTCTCCATGTGTCCTATTAAGAGTCAAATTCTCATTTAAATCTAATAAAGAAATCTTATTTCTAATATTTTCTAACCAAGTCTTTTTAGGTCTAGCTGTACCTTTCTTAACATAGGCCAAATCTAATACATCTACTCTCCTAAAAGAGTCATCGGAAGGCCGCCGTTTTACATGTCCAAACCATCTAAGACGACTCTCTCTAATCTTATATGTCACTGGAGCTACTCCAGCCTTTTCACGGATATACTCGTTTCGTATCTTGTCTTTATGAGTAAATCCACTCATCCGCCTGAGCATCCTCATCTCAGCAACACTTAACTTAATATCATGCTCTCTTTTAATGGTCAATATTCTATGCCATAAAGCATTGCAGTTCTCACCACCATCTTATAAAATTTTTCCTTAAGTTTGAGTGACACTTTTCTATCACACAACAGACCTAAAACACTTCTCCACTTCAACCATCCAACTTGAATTTACTAATAATATTCCCCATCTATTTCACCATAACTCTGAACAATAGATCCAATATATCTAAAATGAGTACATTTTTTATTGATTTGATCGCTCGAAGTCCCAACCCCGCCTCCCCCCCCCCAACTAGATTTATTACTATTAAAATTACACTCCATGTATTTGGTTTTAGATCTACTCAATCGAAAACCTTTGGACTCTAAGGTTGACCTCCATAATTCGAGTTTACCTTCAACTCCCTCTCTAGTCTTATCAACAAGGAGAATATCATCAACAAAAAACATACACCAGGATACATCCTCTTTCAAATGTCTAGTAAGAACATATATGACTAAAGCAAAAAGATAAGGGCTTAAGGCTGATCCTTGATGTAATCCAACTGAAATAGGAAAATACTTGGTCAAACCACCTTGTGTTTGAACACAAGTAACAACTCTTGCATGCATATCACTAATGACTTGAATATAAGCATTATTAACCACTTTCTTTTCTAGTACTCTCCATAGCACTTCTCTTGGAACTTTATCATATGCTTTTTCTAAATCAATAAATATCATATGTAGATCTTCCTTATTCTTCACCAACAATCCTTTCAATAAATGAATAGCTTCCATAGTAAACCTACCTGGCATGAATCCAAATTGATTTTGAGAAATATTAGTATCACGGCGTAACCTATGCTCCATAACTCTTTCCCAAAGTTTTAAAGTATGTCAAATCAACTTATTTCCTCTATAATTCGCACAATTTTGTGCATCACCTTTATTTTTAAAAATATGAATCAACGCACTCACTCTACTCATATGACATCTTTTTAGTCCAAGAAATTCCTTCATCTCCTAAGCATTTCCTCACATCTATTGGAACACCATCAGGTCTAATAGTTTTTCTACACTTCATTTTCTTTAAAGCCTCGCTAACTTTAGTTTTATTAATACACAGATAAAATTCGAAATCTCTATTTTCTTTTAGAGTAGTAAGGTCTCTAAGGTCAATTGTATTCTAACAATATTCATTGAGAAGCAACTTGAATAAATAAAGTTCTTAAAAAAATAAAAAATCCACAAATAAAGTTCTAATTAAGCCCATATGACAATGAGTAGGCCCAAAATGTTGTGAGATCCAACTTCAATTATTCAAGCAAAAGCAACTTGATCATGACTTCTCCAAGTTATTACCACATGCGAATCACGTTAGTAGGGCCCGATCTTCCTATATGTAGTGTCTAAATGTAACGTACATGGCAATAGGCATGTATAAGCTCTCTATTGTCATTTGAACTTCTATAGTCTATGATTGGAAACAAATCAAATTAAAAAGGCAACAAATTTTAAAAAAAAATCAGAACATACAAATGAAATGAACAAAACAAATTATGATAATCTTAATTGTGGCTATTGCAAAATGAGAAAGTTAAATGCAAATGCAGCATATTCTTCACTAAACTAGCTATACAAGTGGGATGATAAGATCTTCATGTTTACTTGCATGTTGCTATACTATGAATGGTAAAATCAATTCAACAAGAAATTTAGCAAAGGATGAGGCAAATATTAAACTTGCTAGTCAATTATATATACTTATCTCTCTCCTCTCTCTCTCTCTCTCTCTCTCTCTCTCTCTCTCTCTCTCTCTCTCTCTCTCTGATGTGGATTGACAACCTCCTGCAACAGCTCTTTTGATCTTGATCTTTTTTCGACTCCCTATTTTCAATTTCTACTATATGTGATGTTTCTCCATTTTGAGTTCTCTATGATATCCTCCTTTGGCTTCCTAGAATCCTTGTTAACCCCTGTGTAAAGAACAAAAGAGGAAAGCAGAGATACCTATGCGTCGTCGAATCCCAGAAATTTCCTCGAGGCGTAAGTATCAAGGCGTTTTTTACTGGAATTGCGCAAAAGCGGGCGTCAAGGCGAGCCTCATATTGCGCAATTTTAAACAATGGTCTCCGGTAATCTTCTCTTCCTCATTACTTGTTGCGTGGCTTCTTTGTTAAGTTTATGATCAATTTGGTGGTATATTCTCCTCTATTCTAGTGGCTTTAGCGTTGTTTCTTTTTCTTTTTTTTGGATTAGTGTGCAATAATTCTATCAAGCTTTATTTTATAAATAGAGTTCTTAACTATGCAGAAAGCCAATTATTTTAGTTTTAAATAAAATTCTAATTGGATGCACTATTCATTATCATTTCTAGAATCAACTCCTTGATCAATTGGGAGACTCAATCCTTTTTAGGAGATTTTCTTCTTGTACAAGCATGATGCTTTTTTTTTTTTTTGAGAAAATTAGGGGCAAACATGCCCATTTTTATTAAAAATGTAAAATTACAAAATAATTACAAATTTTGTAAGAACAATGATAAAAAAGCTTAACAAAAATATAAAAAGAAAGAAATAAAAAGCCCCATAAAAGGGCCTACAACATAACTATGCAAACAACAACAAAAGACAATGAAAAAATAAGAACTAAACACAGTCCTTAAAAAATTGAGAACAAAAGAAACCAACAACCATCTTGAAAAAAACATCTCCAGCCAATAAGGAAGCCATCAGAACTAGCGCCAGAGCAAGAAACTTCGGTTCCAAGATAACCAATGTCTTGCTAGAGAAAACAAAAAACAGTAATAGCATCTAACCAGACATCCTTCCAAAACCATAGCCAGCCAAAGAGATAATCCAAATCAAGTTTGAACATCAACAAAAGCTGGAAAACAGCCATCCCAAAAGCAAAATATCAATCTACCATCCATCAGCAAAGCCCGTCGAAAGATTAGCCAGAGTAGTCTTGAACATCAACAAGAACACATAACCAGCCGTCCTACACCATCTACAAGTATGATGCTCGCTTCGAGAAATTTTTTTTGTTTCCTTTTCCGTTGCTATAAATTTTTGTATTGGCTTGAGAGTGATTGATTTTAATTAAATCAAATATAAGTTGGTTTCTAATAAGTAGGCAGACTTCAAATAATTTGCATGGCTTTTTATGTTTTGAAGTTCTAGTTGTTATTTCTAGCTGAAGGCCATATGATTATCTTCTGACTTGAATTCCTTTATATATTTGATTTTCAATAAAAGTAATTAATAGTTTTTAAAAATTAAGTGCTTGTAATATGCAAATTTTGTTTGTTTGTTGCATTGTGTTTGTTTATCTCATGTTTGATCTCTATTGTAAACTCTAGTTCCCAAGACATCCTCCTCTCTCTCTCTCTCTCTCTCTCTCTCTTAATCCATCAATGTTGAAGACATTTCTTTTTTATTTTTTTTCTTTAGATAGCTGGTGGAACCATCCTGAGAAACCCCTGCTCACTGTACTGAGTAAATATCTTGGATAATACGAACAAAAGGTAAAAATAGTTGACTTTCATTAAAACTTATTGTATGTAATGTTTAAAACAATCATTGCTAGTCCCAAACATCGATGAAAAAAATTGAGGATTGATGTTAGTCCCAATCACTGAACTTTTACCAAAATTCATGAATTGATTATAAACTTAAAGTTATGGAGAGGCGGCTGATTTTGGGGGAGGGAATTAGGAGAGAGCCTAGTTAGGGCTAACTGTTGTTATTTTGCATCATGCAATTTATTTTTTGTTGTAGTCTTTTCTTGAGAGTGATACAGTCATACAGCGGGACCTAGAGCAAATACTTCTGCCCCCTTGTGGGGACCAACATTAAATTTCATCATGAGAGAAAGATGAGTGAGAAGTGTTGACCTCCACACATCCGTCAAATCAGTATGAGCCAAAGAGACAATCGATGAGCTTGACTTTTGACAAGCGCGATGCTTCGCTTAAGTACTCGAATCGCTTTCGATCGCCGAACGGATTGCGCCGATGCAATCAAAACATCGAATTTACCTAAGGGAGGACCCTTCACAGCCAAATTGAGTGAAGACAGTTGAAATATATAATTTGCAAACGTAACGATGCGCGACATTACACGAATAACGTCTGTTCATGAAACGGACTTCGTTGTTGCATTCGAAAGGTTGAAAATTCCTAAGAACGACTATAATATTGCTTGGGTTATTTGACATATTTGGAGGGTCTCCACACAAAGTCACAAATCATGGTGCAGGCAAAACGAGGAATTATGTGAGGGAGCATTTTACATCTTATAAATTAAGTTTTTAATAATCATAATATATATATATAATCTAATTAAAAGCTCCCAAAATTATGTCGGAAATCTCGCTTACCTCTGCAGTTCGGCGCCGAAGCCGCACGGGTCGCCTCTCTTACGTCTGGCGATTTCTGTTTGTCCCGTAGACAGCCTCGTTCTCGCTATTAAAACACGAGCAAAT